GGCTAGGAGGAAAGGAGGTCTACAAGTACCTTATTTGAATGGGTAAGTACTTGTATTATATATATTTTATTTAAAGTTTATTGTAACTTACAGGTTTCTAACACTATTACAATATGTAACTCACATTAGTAGCTCCTCGTTATAATTCTGAGACAATTTCTTGTAGTTCTCTTGTGTTCATTACACAAGAAAACTACTGAGTTACTTGTAAGACATTTCATTGACTCATTAGTATCTACTTTCATTATTTGTGGGTTTTTATATAATTTCATGAAACAAATAGTAATTTCATTCTAAAATTATTTTTGGTTTATTATTCATTTTCATAGGTCTTTGGATGCAAGCATGATCTTACGAGGGTTTCCTTCGGTAGCTAAGAAGAAGCTTCAATATATTGGCCCAAGGGCAAGTCAATTGTCAATCTAATAATACTTATAATTGAATTAAAATATATTCTAACTATAACTTATTTAAGTTTTGTATTCACCAATTATAGTATCTACATCAATGTAGTAATCACGAGTGTGACTATTACGTGATGAAGCACATACTCACCATTATTACAAGCAACATTAGGGACTCATGGAGAAAGATAATACATTTTCAAAATTATTTAATTGTTTAATGATTTACTATGTTTATTTTATTAATTTGTATTTTGAATTAACTTGACCTAGAGCTGTCAAAAATGGGTAACATGGCCCAGCCCGACCGGTCCACACCACGAGTTGAGTATTTGGTGAGGCAACCCAACCTGACTCATTTATATTCATGTTCACTATGGCGTCCAAGGCCGCGTTTGTGAGAGCCTCGGCAACGGGTTCGAAAAGAAGCGCCTCTTGGGCTCCTGGCTCGCGGTGCGAACTGATGAGGGTGTGTGAGAATGAGAACTGATTAGGGCAGAAAATAAACCCTAACTTTATTTGACCCAATAACATAAGTTTACTTTTTTTTATTACAGGTTGGTGGGTCAGCCCGGCTCACCATGGGTTCAACCCGGGTGAGCCGGGTTGTTAGTGAGTCGGGTTTAAAATTGATCCGTACTAAAATTTTTAATTTTTTTTAGCCCATCCCGGCTCAAACCCGTGGTGGGCCGGGTTGGCTCACCAGGTTGACCCTATTTTGACAGCTCTAACTTGACCTATCAGCTACTCCAACATTTGATTCATGAATGAGAGTAGGAAATGATCTTTTCTTGTGGTTGTGTTTAACTTCTAGTAATCAATACACATCCTCCAATTGGTTATCATTATTCCTCCCTTCTTCAAAATCACTTGTACTAGGCTCACCCAGGAGTTGTCTGATATGAAATAAATCAATCCAACCTCTAACAACTTCAACTCCTTTTTCTAACCATTTCCTTCATGGTAGGGTTAAGAACTAGCTTAAAATCTTCTTCCATCATAATTTTATGCATGCAATATAAGGGGCTAATACCTTTCACATTAGTTATAGACCATCCAATAGCTTCCTTGTTTCTTTTTAGCACTGCTTTAATCAATTTCTCTTCCTCAATGTGAGATAGAGAATTACTAATTATCACAGTTTTGCTATATTTTTCTTCTACAGGTGAAAAGGTAGAACTTTCAACTCAACCTTTGATGCTTCTTCATTTTTCTTTTCTTCAAGTTTCTCAACTTGTGCTTCTTTTGGGTCTATCTCTTTGGTAGCTTCTAGACTTACTAGACAAGCCTCAATCTCTTTTTCTTCTTCCTCTGTGAGATCTTCAAATGCTTCAAACAAAGCCTTTTCACACTACTAGAAGGATTGTATTCTAAGTCGGTTATTTTGTCATATCTACATCGGTTTTAAAACCGACTTAGATAAGGTCGACGTAGATGAATGAACATATCTACGTCGGTTACGTAAAAATTGACTTAGATATATTTATACATTTAAGTCGATTTTCACAAAACTATTTTAGATGTGCACATACATCTAAGTCAGTTTTTATCAAAACTGACTTAGATGTATATATATGCACATCTAAGACGGGTTTTATTCAAAACCGACTTAGATGTATATGTGCACATCAAGAAGAGAGTTAATGTGTCTATGTCTTTGCATCTTATCTATAACCTTATCAATCTCTTGAATGTGGAAACATGACCCTTCATCATTAATTAGGATGATACATAGGTTCAAAGACATAAAAAGTGACGGCTTCATCTTGCACCCTAAGCTTGAATTTCTCATCTCCAACATCAATGATAGCTCAGTAGTCATGAAAAGCCTTCCTATCATTGTTTAGTTTCGAAACTTATCCACAAAAGCTCTTTACGCTTGTAAATGCACATAATAATGCACATAATAATGCACCTGATGTAACTCCATTAACGGAAGGAGACATTTTCCTACAACCATCAGCTTTTGATCAATTAAAGCATCACGTTTTTCCACAACGGTCAACAAAGGTTTCACACTTCTCATAAGTTCCTCCTACTCATTTTACTTGTTGCAATCAACTAGCAAGTCAACAATGAATTTTGAAGAATCATCACAATATTTAGCGCGCGATAGAAAGAACGTGTTGCCACCAACCATCTCGCACAAAAATTTTCATATATAACCAATCAACATGCATGCTCTTGATGCCTGAAACAGTTTCCAATTCCTATTTTCCCATCTGCAACCACACTACGTACACTACCGACCAATATCCCTTCACGAACTGGTTCAACACCACACCTTTATTCCACTAATTGATTGAGTATTTTACTATAAATAACATAAGTCCTTTAAATTGTTGTTCATGAATGCTAAGAGCATGAAGTGATATAAATTCATGAAGTATGCTATGCACTATTTTAAAAGACTTATCTACAGACTCTCAAAAACCTAAGAAAATTTGCATGGATATCAGTAGATATATTGGTATAAACACCAAAAATTTGAGAAGTGTCTAGACTACAAGAATAATATGACTGAGAAAAAAGGAGCACAAAAGAATGAGTGATCATACCTTTTGAGAGAGCAGGAATACCTATGGATTTCATGATTATGGAAATTTTTTCTTGCAGATTTTCTTTATCATCCTCAGTCAGTTCACTAAAACAAAGAAAGTCAAGGTTATATATATGAATGTTTAAATTCCTTTTTCAACTTCTGATAATCGCACCAAAAGACAAGTCCAAAGGTATCTTGTACAGTTAATTTATTGAAAACTGCAAAGACATTATTATATTTATATCTGTCAAACATGCTCAAGGGATGGAATTTGTGAATACTAAATGGAGATGAAGTTGAGGAATACATTGTGGAGATTTAATAGTGACTACAAAATAACTGCCACTAAAAACAAACTTTTTTGTAGTGATTACCCACTGTGGAATGCAAGGACTTAAACTTTATATTTTTTAATTTTTAAAATTTTCATAAAATAAATTTTTTTAAAGGTGTGTAATTTGTATTAAATTTTTATTATATTATATGAATAAATAGGTTACACTATCAGACTTTTTTATTTTAATGAGCCTGAGCCTATTATAAATAAAGAAAGTAATCATTTGGTGACCATATTTTTCTAACCTATTTTACCCTTAACTATGCTTACACTCAAATAACCATACAAGCTTTTAATAGAAATTTTTTTTTATTTTCTCTTCTTTTAACAGAAGCATGATTTTTTTTACTAGTATTATATAAGACAAAACTCAGATGAAATACTATATATAATTATATATTGTTGGTGTTGATCTTTAATCATAATTATACTTTTATTTTAATAATATATAATTAAAAAATTCATTTAATATCAATGTATATTACTTATATCTATTTTAAATGGAGTATTACACCAAAAACATTAATAATATTGTAATTAAGTTTTGTCCTATATATATCATATGAGATTAATTGTGATTATTATAATATCTCACATTTCGTAGGATTTAACTCATTTAATTGAATATTATATGTGAGTTATTGTAATTTCTCATACTAAGTTTAATTCTTATATATGGAAAAGGGGTTAAATATAACTTTAGTATTTGTAAAATTAACAAATTTTATTTTTATCTTTACCAAAAGAAAATGTTCAAATATTTTAAAATATGTAATTATTATCTTTATCTCAATTCTTATGTGATACTTATTAACTACTTATGTGTTTAATAAAAAAATTAAGTGCTTATTTCAAATGACACCCATTACTCTGTATGGTATCATAGCAAGTATGTGTCATCTCTAATTTTATTTTTCTAAACTTTTAAAAAATATATATATAATTTACCTATTTTAAAATAATTGTTTAGGATCAAATATAATGATTTCAAATTTTATAGATGAAGAAATATTTATAATTATTAAAATAAAAATTTACCTACTTTATATGAATAAAAATAAAAAAATTTAATTTTTAAAACTTTTATAGAAATTAAAATTAAAAACAAGTCATTTTAGAAAGACAAAAATATACTTAAGTATATTTTGTTATATTTTTCCATCACTTTTTGAGTAATTATATTATTGGGATGAAATATTTATTGATTTTGTGGTTAATCTTTATTAGAACACTTAACTGATGTTCTTTAGTGAGATTGTCTCTCTTAATATATACAAGATTTGAATTCAATATATTGATTAAAGGGACTGAATTTAGTATAATTCTAACCAGCAATTTATTAATCTCTATCACTTTATTTATTATAGAGAGATATTTATTATTAATAATAAAGAGATAAATATAAAAGTAATGTTATACATATTTTTCAATTTTTGTTAAACATATAACAAAAAAAAAATTAAAAATTGTTGATACCCTTCTTCCTGTTCCTGTATGGCTTGGGCCCCCTATTAAGCTCCATATGGATCCAGTGAATTTCAAGAAAATCAGGTGGAAGACAGCTGTTTCCCATTAAGCCCCGCATGGTGCTGCGGTGGCTTATCGATGTGCAGCCAACTAAACACCACATATACGTGTCAACACAAAAATAAATAAATAATAATAATAATAATAATAATAATAATAAATAAATAAATGATTTAATTGCAAGCATATTCATTCAGGAAAAATAGTGCATTTCATCTGGGTGTAGGGCAGAGTTTCCTTCGTTTCGCATTTTCTTTTCTATCCTGCTCAAGTGAGTTTATAATTTCCTATCATTGCATGTCTTGAGTTAAATGCTTTAGTAGTACACCCCCTCCTGCATTTTTGGCTCTTTATGTAGTTTGATTCATGTTAAGTTCACTTGATTTTCATTGGATCATGAAAACATTGTTAATAACTCATGTTGCTGGTATTGTAGTGTGGAGATTTTGTTTAAAGGTTTCTCTATACCTCCCATGACCAGCTACCCCAACTTTACTCCTACCGGGTGGTTACTCTTTGTATATCATCCCTCTCAAGGTTGGGACATTTAATTTCCTTCTTAGATATCTTGGTCATGTTTTTTGCAATTTTGTTCATTTTGAAACATGGTATTTGATATGCTACCATTTCATACAAGGGCTTTCAAGAGATACTAAGTTGTTTTATTGTTGTGCTTTTTTGTTTTGTTTTTTATTTGCTGCTATATTGTTATTGTCCCCAGACATTGGTATGGTATCCTCCATATCATATTATGATTCATAAAGTTATGATGAGTCTGGAAAATTAACGAGTCATTCGTTACATATGATGGTTAATTTAATTGTTTGTGTGCCCTCATGTGAGTACTGAGGCTCTACATTTATAAGCCCCTCATAGATTGCTTATTTGGATTTTGTCGTTCTACAATTTCACTATTGATTAAATTAATGTCTAAGTTTTTAAGTAACTAGTATTTTTTTTTTTTAGCTTGGAGAGACGTTAAATGTTTATTATATATAATTAAATTTTAAAATAAATTATGGATGTAAATAAATATTATGTTTGAATGTATAAATTTATCTAAAATTTGAATAAATGGATTTTTTAAATATATAAATTATAATTTAAATTTATGATATAAATCATATTGTAGTTCGAGGCTATTTTTATTCAGATTGTTTTATTATTATTTATTAATAATATATTTTAAAAAATTAAAATTTAATTTAGAAATAATTATTATAAATAAAATTGAATTACATATGAAATTAAAAGAATTTTTAAAAATTTTCTCATCAAAGAAAAATCATCTAACAAGATTCTCGCCTAAAATAATCGTTCCTATTTCTATATACAGGAGTTTATTCATGTATTTTATATATTGGGTTTATTCATGGTTAGTTTTCAATTTCTTATATTTTCTGGTGCGAATTTGGTTTCTGACTGTGTGACATCTTTTTATTTCAAATCAAAATAAATTGAGATTTCTAAATAAAAAAGAACAATTAAAGGTATTATAAAATACTTAAATATCATTTTATAGTGAAAGGATATACAATTTTTAAAATAAAGTTCTTTAATGAAAAGGTAATTAAATAACTACATAATTTTATAAAATAAAATAAAATAAAAACACATGAATCGTCTTTTTACACAACTATCAACATAAAACATAACATAAATTATCGCATGTAAATTGACTTCAATTATGACTAATAAAATATACTCTCTCAAGTCCTCAAGTCACATTATCATAGAAGATTTAAGTTTTTTTTCATCAAACTCTTCTTCTCATATCTGTTTTATATATGCAAATGATAATTAATCCAAATACATACACAATAATATGTAGGGAGTGAGAACTCATGTACAATACATAAGACATATGAATAGGACTAAAGATGTACATCATAATCATGTTTTTATACATATAGGTATTTTTACTTCCATCATTAAAAGTTATACTTAACTTAGTACATCTATCACTCTACATTTATTCATCATCAACAATTATTCATCTCATTCAACTTATCTCAATTATAAAATAAAGTTTGTGCAATGCATGCTTTTAATTTATATGCACGTGATACCAATTTATTCATCATCATTAACACAGAATAGTCTAGAAACTAGTTTATGTTTTTTTTTTTTGGTTGTTGTAAGTTAGGATATGACATTGGAATAGTTGCTAGGAGTTTATGTTTTTCATCGGTTATTTTAAGTTACTACTTGATGTTAGACTTTACGCTGTATTTATTTTGTTAGGCGTTTATTTTGGTTATTGTTCTGCTTTTATTTTGAAATGTGATACATCTATCCAAGAAAATTTTCAAATCATGTTTACTCAATAAATTTATTTTTTAAAAAATTTTCATCATATTCAGTAGTTATAAGTCTATGATATCATGCAGGATAAAGGGTGTTATAATAAGCATCATAGAGAGAAACCCATGCTCTTTGTGACTTTTATGCTCGATGGCTATGCATAGCACCCAACTTCGTGTTAGAAAGAACACTTTTGTAGAGTTTGCAAAATTCAAACAATACCATCAACATGCATTTTCATGAATTACAATTGGTCAAAATTAGGGGTGGGCAAAAAAAACTAAACTGAATTGAACTGGTGGTGAACTGTACTATAAAAAACTGAACTGTTTGTAAAAAAAACTGAACTGAACTGTTTAAAAAAAACTGAACTGAACTAAACTGTTGTAAAGTTGAACTATACTGAACTATAAAAACTGAACTGAATTATAAAAATTGAACTATTTTTATAAAAAAAATAAAAATTAAATGTGTTTAACATGTTATGTCTTAATAGATTAACTCGATAGTTTAATAACCAAAATTTTAGAAAAAAAGTGATTTGAAAAAAAATTGTATCAATTTTGTTGAACTTAACGGATCAATTGAGCTATGTTGAATTACTTATTTTTAGGCTTAAAATTCACTGAGTTTGTTTGACTTAATTTTATATTTTTTTCCTTTGAAAAGTTTAAATAAAATGGAAAATAAAGTAAAGTTGACAAATGTGTCCTATTTTGATAGATAAATGAGTCAAAATTGTTCAATTCAAAATATCATAACAGTTTAGTGCAGTTTAAATTGCACTTCAGTTCAAGTTTTTATAGTATAGTTCAGTTCAGTTCAATGACACAAAAGAATAGTTCAGTTCAGTTCGTCTGAACTAATATTTAGTTTAGTTCAGTTCATATGAACTACTTTTAAGTTCAGTATAGTTTTTATAAGTTCAGTTCAGTTCGTTTTGCCCACTCCTAGTCAAAACATACAAGAGCACTATTTAATCATTATTAAGCCATCAATTCACACATTATATACATTATTCCTTACTAATTTAGTTTACTTTATCTTTAGAGCTCTCACAGGAATTTGTAAGTACTCACAGATTCACAATTTCATACAATTAAATAGAATTATTATGACTACTCATTGATTACTTTTAATTAGAATATACAAGAATCCATGGAAACATTAGCTACAATTCTAGTTTGGGTTTCCCCCTCATAAACCATCAAAACGAGATTTGGGGACAACCTCGCTACCCTTACAAATAACTCACAACCAAAGCGAGTTATCAATTCTTCCTTACCTTGGTGAATATTAGATGTTGGGTGTGAATCTTTAAGGTTGTCTTCAGATATCTTTGATTCTCCCAATTCTTCATAGTACAAAAACATATTAAAAAAAAAAAAAGTTAATCATATATACACTGTCAGTGTAAAAAAAATTTATACTGACAACCAATTATATCCTTTAATTGTGTCATGTCACTATAAATAGATTTACTTTTAACAGTGACATGGCACAATTAAAAGATATAATTGGTTGCTAGTATAAAAAAACTTTATACTGCCAGTATATAAGTAATTAACTCTAAAAAAAATTAGACACGTGAAACTCTAGCGTAACTTTTCTTTATAAAGGAAATTCTAAAGCCTTAACTCACATTTAACCTGCCCATAAAAAAAACAAATTAATTACAATTACTTATTTTTTCCTTATAATTAAATAACAAGAAGAAATTTTGAAATATTTCTTTTTATTTAATAACACTCATAATTATAAAATAACTTAACTAATTATTTAAAACTCTTATTAATTTATTCTAAAAACTTGAGGTGTTATAATTTTATTTTTGTTGAGACTGGATCGTCTCATTAAGCGAAATCATCATATCAAACCTTAGAAGTTTGACGTTCAAAACCCAGATAAGTTTATTTTAATGGCATATAAATCCTTTAGGGGTGTCGATATATTATGCACTAACATGATATCATTAACAGTTGTAATATATAAGTAATATCTAAGATGGTCACTTAATATTTTAATGAACAAATAAGTAGTTAAAAATGACTACAAAATAATTAAGATTAAAAACACTAGTTTAAATTTTTTAGGGGTGAAAATAAAGAAATTTTTTTACAAAGATTAAAATCAAAATTTAGCATTTTATAGGAATTAAAATTTTTTTAAAGTTTTAAAGAATACATTAATAATGGTTTAGAGTATAATAGGAAAAATATATTTAATGTTACATTGGTATCATAAAATGAAAATCAAATTGAAATAAATAAGAATTGCTAAAATGTTAAACAAAGTGGAAGGGAAGGAATATTTTATATAAACAAAAAAATTAATAAATAGATGAAAGAGAATAATAATTTTACAAAATTAACATTATGATTATTCTTCTTTGTTAGAAAATAGAAAAAATTCAACATAATAATTATTTCTAAAATCATATTATGAGGTGTAGAAATGAAAAGGTGATAATTAATATTATGTTGAAAAACTAACATATACTTATTTTAAGACTTATTTTGTCTTAAACATTGACACTTGTTATAAGATGAAAGGTGTATTTATTCTCAATTAGGATATATAAGAATCATATGAAGCACGGAAACATTAGCTACAATTCTAGTTTGGGATTTCTCTCTCATAAACCATTCAAACAAGATTGGAGGTAACCTTGCTATCCTTACAGATAACTCACACCCAAAGCGAATTATCAATTCTTCTCTTACCTTGGTGAATACTAGATGTTGAGTGTGAATCTTTAAGGTTGTCTTTAAATGCCTTTGATTCTCCCAATTCTTTATAGTACAAAAACATACAGAAAAAAATGAGCCATGTGAAACAACTCCAACGTAACTTTTCTTTATAAAGGAAATTCTAAAGCCTTAACTTACATTTAGCCTGTCGATAAAAAAAAAAAATTAATCACAATTACTTATTTTTTCCTTATAATTAAATAATAAGAATAAATTTTGAAATATTTCTTTTTATTTAATAATACTCATAATTATAAAATAAATTAACTAATTATTTAAAATTCTTATTAATTTATTTAAAAACTTGAGGTGTTACAATTTTATTTTTGTCGAGTGTGGATCGTCTCATTAAGCAAAATCATCATATCAAACCTAGAAATTTGACGTTCAAAACCCAAATAATTTTATTTTAATAACATATAAATCCTTTAGAGGTGTTGATTTTTCATGCACTAACATGATATCATTAACAGTTGTAATATGTAAGGAATATCTAAGATAGTCACTTAGTATTTTAATGAACAAATAAATAGTTAAAAATGACTACAGAATAATTAGGATTAAAAACACTAGTTTAAATTTTTGAGGGGTGAAAAATAAAGAATTTTTTTTACAAAGATTAAAATCAAAATTTAGCATTTTATAGGAATTAAAAACATTTTTTAAGTTTTAAAGAATACATTAATAATGGTTTAGAGTATAATAGGAAAAATATATTTAATGTTACATTAGTATCATAAAATGAAAGTCAAACTGAAATAAATGAGAATTTGCTAAAATGTTAAACAAAGTGGAAAGGGAGGAATATTTTATATAAACTAAAAAAAATTAATAAATAGATGAAATAATAACTTTATAAATAGAAAAAATGTAACATAATAATTATTTTTAAAATCATATTATGAGGTGTAGAAATGAAAAGGTGATAATTAATATTAGGCTTAATTGCGTTTTTGATACCTTAAGTATTGAAATTGTGCAATTTTGATCCCAAAGTTTTAATTGGGTAATTTTAGTCCTTAGAGGATTGTAATTGTGTGATTTTGGTCCTTCAATTTTTAATTGAATAATTTTAATCCCTCAAATATCATAATTGTGCGATTTTAGTCTCTTTCATTAAAAATTTAATAATTTTAATATAAATATATATACAATGTTTTAAAATTATACAATTATTTGTCTATTCAAGTTAACACATATCATAATTTTCTTCAATGTATTAAATGATATATATTTATTATTAATAAATAAATAAAATTTATGTATTATTATTTTTATAATATTACTGATAAATTAATATCAATAATATGTATATTTATCGATAAAAAATTATATTTATCAGTAATATTATTAATATCAAATTATTAGTTTATCTATAAATATACTAATAATATTATTAGTATATTTATAGATAAACTAATAATTTGATATTAATAATATTACTGATAAATATAATTTTTTATCGATAAATATACATATTATTGATATTAATTTATCAGTAATATTATAAAAATAATAATACATAAATTTTATTTATTTATTAATAATAAATATATATCATTTGATACATTGAAGAAAATTATAATATGTATTAACTTGAATAGATAAATAATTGTATAATTTTAAAATATTATATATATATATATTAAAATTATTAAATTTTTAATGGAAGAGATTAAAATTGCACAATTATGATATTTGAGGGATTAAAATTGTTCAATTAAAAATTGAAGGACCAAAATCGCACAATTGCAATCTTTTAAGAACTAAAATTACCCAATTAAAACTTTAGGATCAAAATTGCACAATTACAATACTTGAAAGATAAAAATGTAATTAAACCTTAATATTATGTTGAACTTATTTTGTCTTAAAACATTGACATTTGTTATAAGATGAAAGGTGTATTTATTCTCCCCCTCAACCCAATCCCTTTTCCTCCTTCTCTTTCTCCTTTCTTTATTTTCTCTCTCTCATATTATTAACTTTTTTCTCTCTTTCTCATATTATTATTCTCTCCCTATTCCCTTTCCTTTATTGTCTCTACCATCTTTTTCTTTCTCTCTCTCCTTCTCTCTCATCTAAGTTTTATCTCTTTCAATCTCTTTCATATTATTTTTTTCTTCCTCTTCTTCCATTCTTTATTGTCTCTTTCATCTTTCATCAATTTTCTCTCTCATCCTCTCTCCTTAATCCATGTTTTATCCCTTTCTAACTTAAATATTATTAATCTCTCTTTCTTTGACCTTTCTTTCTTGTTTCTTTCATTTGTATTTTCACCTTCTCAACTTTAATAATTCATAAAAAATCATGAAAGTACACAAGTTAATATCCTTCTAACAATTTATTTTATACTTAATATCAAATTTTAAAATCTAAATAATACTATTAAATAATACAAACCGCTATCATTTGGATCAATTAATGATGAGTTGAACATGAAAATCATGTAACCACGTTTTCTTTCCAGCATATGTGGATTATCTTCTTTGTTTTTTGCTTTCATAAAATAAGCGATATACATTGTTAGGTGTATTTTTTAGTTCCAACACTACCTTTAATCCTGCACGTCGATTATTTAACCAACTGTTATTAAAACTAACGAACCGAGGGTACCATGACGAGATTAAGCACACTGGCCTCCGTCCTCTTCGTTTCGATTTCACCCGTTATATACAAATCACAAAACCGAATCAATCATTCTTTTTTATTTTAAAACTGACCAAACTAAAATCAAAATAAAGAAATTAGAATATAAATGGATTACAGTTGAAAAAGTCCTTATGAGAAGTTCAATATATATTACTGAATTTTAATAAATAAAATACAGGAAGAATTTGTTGGTTTAGAATAAAAATACTAATGAAGCTTTTATACCTGCAATCTAAACATTCACTGAGTAAGTCAACAAATGTAAACAAGATGTCATATGATCTCATCTTCTGGACCGAACATAACCAAATACTATCCCTCAAACGTTTATATAATTTATATAAAATAAATAAAAGAAAAA